TGATATATAATACAGATAAAGCAAGGCACCCAAACAGCACTATGTACTGTTGTACAACAGTACAACAGAGTACCATAGCACAACATTCAGCACATTCCATGCTCACTTTCCAGACACCCCGCGACAAATACACTGGTTGCAGTCACATTAGTCCTTCAACCCATCACAGTGCAGGCAATGACACCGGCATGGTGCTTATACACACAGTTGGTACAAACAAGAGTTGAGGTATGATCAATTACAGACACGTTTTATGTTGTAAAAACACACACACACACGCCACTCAGACCAAAATTCCTGAGGTACCAGACGTGCCTTGGGCATCCAGCCTTTACGGGGAGGGGGCTTGATAAGGGGCACAGTGGTCATGTGTCCAGCCTCTAAGGAGAGAAGAGGAAGGTGAGGGGCACTGTGACAGAGCATGCAATATTCTGGGTTGCTGCGATACACCTCTACAGCTTGATAAGCTTTGAGTCCCAGACGTCGCTCCTTTTGGGTTGCTGTAGCGATGGTCCATGGTTGCTCCCTTGTTTTTCCCCGCACCAAGTTGACGTCTACCCCTGAGCTTTACCCTTTGGCTGGCCACAGAGTTATGGTTAGCGGCCCGCCATAGATCTTGTGACTGTTTCAAAGCCAGGTTGTTGGCACCACAGCGGCCGAACTTGTGCATTGCCGCCTGCATCATGGAGGGATTTCGCTTCAGCCTGTTGAAGGCCTTTAAAAAAGCTGATCCGGCCACCTGAAATTCTTCACTGCTCTGCACCATTGCTGCAAATTCCTGGCTCATGGAGTCCCACTCCTGTGTGCTGACTCTAGCTGGAAACAAAAAAAAACTTAAATGTCCAACAGGGCAAAGGATTAACCCTTATTTTTAATCAGCAAGCCATATACTCATATGCATAATTGTGAATCTATTTTAGTTGAACTAACCTTCCAGTGTTTCATCAGCCTCAAGCTCCTCAACAGCTTCCATGGATGTTTCTGGAGTACAACTGCTAAGATCTGAAGTGAGATGTGACCCACCAGATACTTTAATTGAACAATCCTGATCCTGAAGAGGCTTCAGTAAGCCCTCATGGACGTGGACATCATCCTGTGCACTGCATATGTATTCCTTATGGAATATCTTATAGTAAAGTCTGAAAAACATGACATTAACAGCATAATTAACTCAGATCTGAAATACTGTTTGATATAAACAGTATGAATAACCAGTCATGATAAATACCTATAGCAGAACTGCAGGTCAGGACAGATGGAGCGGTCTGCTGAAGCACTGACGTAATCATTCCCGAACTGAACTTGCAGATCATGTTTAAGAACATTCAGTGCAGAGGATGGTGAGCGCCCTGCTTTAAACAACTCTGTCAGCTGCTCCACAGCCTTGCTGCCCACATCCCGGTGACGCAGAGCATCCGGTGCATGAATGTTGTGGTTGTGAACATTCACGACGTCCACTAGTGTGGGGTAGGTCGGAATGTGGGGATCGGTACTTCTGGGTGGAAAAGAGCAACAATCATTCTGTTAAACTGATTTATACAGACATGTATTATCACATGAACACAATCATTGCTTAGAATATGAAGTAGGGTTTGTTTAACCTGCTCGGCCGTCCCAAGGAGATCTCAGTGCGTGCAATGGCAACTTTGAGTTTTGCAGGGCAATCTGTATTTTTGGACGTCCCATTACTCTTTCGTGTCGCCCTGGGCCTGGTGTTATGCTGGCACCGGTATTCTGTCTAAATTATTACGGAAAACTGAATTAGAATTTTTGAGTCATGATGAAGAAAACATGTTTTATGAGGCCACAGTGATCCAAGTAAATGTTTTTTGCCAAATTTGAAGAAAATTCCCTGAAGGCGTTCTTGAGATATCGCATTCATGACAATGGGACATACATATGTATGTACAGATGTTCAGATGGACGCACAACCCAAAACATAATGCCTCCGACTGTGGCTATCACTGGCGCTGAGGCATAAAAATGATAAGAGGAAGTACAGACAGTCCACAGTCAAGTTGGATAGATAAGCATAGAGGAATTTTTGGCACCTTCCGAAAGGTTTGAGCCAAAGGAAATTCACCAGCGCCAAACTGAAAAGAACTGAGAATAAAACAGTGATTTAGATCCTCTTAAAAATGTGTTTGATAGAAATATAACAAACAACTTGAACAATCAGAATATTGACTTAAATATGACATCATTAACTTCCAGCAGTCACCTTCATTCTCATCCACAGCTGTTATATCTTACACATGCGGCTGGCGCTGAATAAGCCAGCTAAGCTGCATTGTTTAGACTGGGCCTGAACACTCCACTGTGAAGCTAGCACTAATGGGAGAGACAGACCAAAGACCAAAACAACCTAATTGAGACTGCTTAAGAAGGTGGGTCTCAGTCTGCTTCCAAGCAGATTCTGTTGCATTTCTTTTGTTTTGTGAAAGCAAACCAACTGCAAACAGGATTTTAAGAGAGCAGAGATGTGATTATAGCATGATTTTAAAAGATTAACAACTAAATCCATCTGCTGATTGTGAAGTATGTTCAGGAGAATTTGATTTCTCCACGTGGGTCCTGATGATGCAGGATGACAGTCACTAAACTGTCCACTATGGATACGAATCATAAAACTTTTTTTTTTTTTTTTTAAAGATATTTTTTGGGCATTTTTTGCCTTTAATTGACAGGACAGTGAAGCATGAAGGGGGAAAGAGAGAGGGAGAGACATGCAGCAGAGGGCCATAGGCTGGACTCGAACCCGGGCCACTGCGGCAACAGCCTTGTACATGGGGCGCTTGCTCTACCACTAAGCCACCGACACCCCATGAATCATAAAACTTTTAAACGTTCATATTGATAGAAGTGGCAGATTAGGAAAATTGAATGAATGGCCAGAAATGTTGTCACAACACCAACTGTGTGAAGAAGTGATAAACCTACTTTGAAGATGACCTTTGAACCCTTAGTAGGCCTCGTGTAGTCCACTCTCCACGTAACTGGCATTAACTTCAGCCACACCAGTATCTCCTCCTTTGATGTGAGGGACATCCGTAGGGTGGCTTCAAAATCCGTGTGGTCACTGGTCACGTTCACTTCTTTGTAACTGCATATATGATACTGATACTCCTTTGGCAAGAAGTCCTTCAACACAGACAAGATGAAGTTACTAAGAGGACAATTAAAGTATGACATCTGTTCGTCTAAAAAACTAACATTCCAGTTTGTTTACCTCAATAAACACTGATCACAGGTTTTGTTAAAAGATGAGCCTTAGGTTAAAGAAAACTTGGCGTGGGAGCCACTTCACCTCTCAGCAAGACAGTTAAAGGGAAATTTCGGTTTATTTCAACCTGTCTCCTATCGTCCTAAATTTGTTTCAAGTGACTAGTGACATAAAAATAATAGTTAGCATGTTAGCCGTTAGCCTAGATACAGCCGGGGCGCATAGTAGCGTCAGACCTGTTAAAACGTAAGTGAACGGGCAACCTTCAAGTGCAAAGTTAGTCCACTAAACAAGCTATTTTTCCACAAAGACCGCCTCATATCATTAGGATAAATGTCAGAGAACATTTAGAAAACGACATGTAAATGTGTTGTCTTACCTTACCGGTGTGCTGCCATGTTTGTTGTTTACCATTTAGCTCTGCTTTCCAAAGCAGCGATCTCATACCGTGCCTGAAATCTCGCGAGAACAAGCAGCAACAGCTGGAAGGCAGAACCGGACAGTAGCCTGAAAAGTTCATTCATTTATTTTATGAAAGATTTATAGAATAATGGCTGACTTTTTGCCAGACTTCGACTTTGTGGGGGAGGAATTTGATTTTGCAGGGTTTGATGGCCGACTTTATTTATTTGAGCCAGAATACACTGATGAAGAGCTTCGTGAAATTGAAGAACAGAGGAGGAGAGAGAGAGAGGCGCAACAGGTAGAGGACGAGAGAGGAGGAATGGCTGCTGTAAGGCTGCGTAGCTCTGGAGATTGGTGGTGTACCTGTGAATGCTGTGCCCCAGTGCCCACAGAAGAGGAATGCCTCTGTTGCAAGGAATGGGACCGGTTGCAGCCTAATAAGGCCTTATTAGGCTGCACCCGGTCTGGATGGTCTAGGTCTGGATGTGACCGAGGACGAGACACCTCCACCTGGAGTAGTATCCAGCTGGGCTTTATCTAGAGCTGGCGAGATATATTTCGGCTGCGCTTTGGAAAGCAGAGCTAGATGGTAAACAAACATGGCAGCACACCAGTAAGGTAAGACAACATGTTTACATGTCGTTTTCTATATGTTTTCTGACATTTATCCTAACGATATGAGGCGGTCTTTGTGGAAAAAAAGCTTGTTCAGTGGACTAACTTTGCACTTGAAGGTTGCTCGTTCACTTACGTTTTAACAGGTCTGACGCTACTATGCGCCCCGGCTGTATCTAGGCTAACGGCTAACATGCTAACTATTATTTTTATGTCACTAGTCACTTGAAACAAATTTAGGACAATAGGAGACAGGTTGAAATAAACCGAAATTTCCCTTTAAGAATATTGTTTATTCAATATATGTACCTTCGTGTCACCTTTGTCATCTTCAGTCACCAAAGTGGGTCTCGTCCTGACAGGTAAAGTAGCCAAGCAAAATTAGCCCTGCCTGTGTGTCATGTGCTTCTTTGCTCATCATCACCAGTCCACTGAAGCAATAAATTCCTCAGTGAGTGCTATATTGACTGACAAAGCTGAGCTGCAAAATCTGTTATTCTTCCTGCATCTAGCGCCATCATTTCACGTGACAGTGACATAGTTGGATAGTTGGAAGGGGTAAACTCGCTATGCTTCTAACAATGAAAAGAGTAACCCAAAATATGAGTGCAGAGGATGTTGTGTTTCAGCTGACTCAGATATTCAGCTGTATTTATGTGAGATGGATTCCCTCCTCTGGGTTGGGGGAGAGCTCCTGTCCCAAGTGAAGGAGTTCAAGTATCTCAGGGTCTTGTTCAGCAGTGAGGGTAATATAGAGCATGAGTTGGATCGGCGGTTTGGTGCAGCATCAGCAGTAATGCATCCATCTACTTCCAAACCCTCACCTATGGTCATGAGCTTTGGGTAGTGACAGAAAGAATAAGACCACGGATACAAGCAGCCAAAATGAGTTTCCACCATAGAGTCTCTGGGCTCAGCCTTAGAGTTAGGGGGAGGAGCTCAGACATCCAGAGGGAGCTTGGAGTAGAGCTGCTGCTCCTTCTATTAAAAAGGGGTCAGTTGAGGTGGTTCAGGCATCTGATCAGGATGACTCATGGGTGATTCCCATTAGAGGATTTCCGGGCACGTCCAACTGGTAGGAGGCCCCAGGGTAGATTCAGAACACGCTGGAAAATTATATAAGTCATCAGGCCTAGGGAACACCTCGGGATCCTCCAGGAGGTGATGGAAAAAGTTACTGAGGGGAGAGGGATGTGTGGAGTATCTCGCTCAGCCTGCTGCCCCCGTGACCTGGCCCCGGGTAAGCAGATGAACATGGATGGTTGGAAACGCAGCGGAGAGTGGCTGTGGCTGCATGAGAGGAAAGGGACCCTCCAGAACCAGTCAACTAGATTTACCATCAACACAGATTGGACATCCACATAAAAGGTGGTAAATTTTCCCCTCAAAATCACTACGGTTATACAAACACATAATGCAGTGGGACTCAGCACTACATTTTCGCAGGGTGTTTCAAAACCACTTACCATCAATTCAGAATACTGGTCTATGTTCTCAGAAGGAGCTGTGCAGGGAAACCGCTTTGCGTTGCTGATGCGAGGTTTGAGATTTCCTCCCCTATCAACATGAACAATTGCTTTAGTTGCTGTGTCAAGATTAGCTAGGTCACTTGTCAGCTACTTCAACACCAAACTACGATATTACTAACCTGTCCTTTCAGTATTTAGCAGGCTTTTTTGTCGATTAGCCTTAAATACCTGATTTCATGGCTGTTTTTCTAAAACATTGTGATGCATGTTACAATGTCTTTAGACTTTTTTTTGCAGCAAAACTACAGGAGAAGTGAAAATTGCAAAAATAACTGCGATTCTTTCATACAGAATTCATTAAAAACCAATGCAACTTATTCCAGTGAGAATAAACCCCCATTAATCTGAGTGTTCTACATAACATGTTGGTGAAGATTCTCAGTCATCCAGGATTTGGTCATCTTAAGTGCTATCATAGGCAACTGGACTTGCTTGAGTTTCTTGAAGACACGTCACCTCTCTCATCCAAGAGGCTTCAGTTCTAACAGACTGATGTAAAACTCCGATACGTCACACCAGTCTGTTGGAAGAGAAGAAGCCTCTTGGATGAGAGGTGACACGTCTTCAAGAAACTGCGATATAGCACTTGAGATGCTCTTCGTAACCTTACCAAAAACACTTAAGATGATAAAAATTCTGTAACCAAATGTGCTTAATTTGTAAATGAAGAAGTGCACATGGGTTCTTTATTGAATACCTTTTTCTCCTCAGGAATCTCATAGCAGGGTTTTCACCCTGAGGGAAAAAAAAGATGACATCATCAAGATATCATACAATCACAACTGGTTAATAAATCCCACACATTCTTTTTTTTTTTTATGTCTAAACTATTTTCAAACAGACAAACACGATTTATGCTAAATTAATTACACATGCATATTTAATCAGACATACTTTGATTCTTTCAGCACTTGTAACAGCTCTGGATACAACAGCCTCTGTTGCCATGACTTGTCTTGTCTGATGTCCAAGATTTTCAGCTACTCTCCGGATGTGTTTTGCGGTAGTAAAGTGTTTGTTAATTGATGACTTCCGTTTGTGTTCCAACAGAACGTCGCACGCGGTGCAAAATAGTTTACCTCCGCTTTCATACATTAAATCAGGAAACTGCCTCGCTCGGTCTTTGGCTGTAATTTTTGTTGCCACATGTGAAACGTTCCTGTCGCCCATGTCTGCGTCCTCACAGACAGAAACAAGGAAGTGAGTGTGGTGACGTCACGCACTGGGCTGCTGTGATTGGTGACACTCGTGGGAAACGAGGATGATTGGTGAGATTTGCGTTGGCGTTCCTTATTAATACATTTTGTAATCATAACACAACTTTAACTCTTCAAGGAAAAATGTTTTGTTCCATATGAGAGACAGAGAAAAAGAAAAACAAAACTTACATATACTGAAAGAGTTTGTTAATAGTTTAGTTTTTTTATTACAAGCTTTTGGGTGAGTTGATTTGAATACAGTCAGGTCCATAATTATTTGGACAATGATACAGTCCATCAATCAATGAATCAATGAATCAATTGGATTCAGGTCAGATGATATGACTTGGCCATTGCAGAACATTTCACTTCTTTGCCTTAAAAATGTCTTTGGTTGCTTTTGCAGTATGCTTCAGGTCATTGTCCAACTGCACTGTGAAGCATCGTCCAATGAGTTTTGAAACATTTGGTTGAATCTGAGCAGATAATGGTGCCCCAAACACTTCAGCTTTCATCCTGCTGCTCTTGTCAGCAGTCACATCATCAATAAATACAAGAGAACCAGTTCCACTGGCAGCCATACATGGCCATGACATAACAGTACCTCCACCATGCTTCACTGATGAGGTGGTGTGCTTTGGATCATGAGCAGTTCCTTCCCTTCTTCCTTCTCTTGTCTTCCCATCATTCTGGTAGTTGATCTTTGTTTTATCTGTCCATAGTATGCTGTTCCACAACTGTACAGGCTTTTTAGATGGTTTTTGACACACTCTAATCTGGCCTTCCATTTTTAAGGCTAACCAATGGTTTGCATCTTGTGATAAACCCTCTGTATTTATTCTAGTGAAGTCTTGTCTTGTTTACAAGAGCAGCAGGATGAAAGCTGAAGTGTTTGGGGCACCATTATCTGCTCAGATTCAACTAAATGTTTCAAAACTCATTGGACGATGCTTCACAGTGCAGATGGACATTGACCTGAAGCATATTGCAAAAGAAACCAAAGACATTTTTAAGGCAAAGAAGTGGAATGTTCTGCAATGGCCAAGTCATATCATCTGACCTGAATCCAATTGAGCATGCGTTTCTCTTGTTGAAGCCAAAACTGAGGGCAAAACACCCAAAACACAAGCAGGAAGTGCAGACGGCTGCAGTAAAGGGCTGGCAGAGCATCAACAGGGAAGAAACCCAGCATCTGATGATGCCTATGTGTCCAACACTTCAGGCAGTCATTGACTGTAAAGGATTTGCAACCAAGTATTAAAACTGACTGTTTAATTGATGATTATGTTAGTTTGTCCAAATACTTATGAGCCCTTAAAGTCAGGGGACTGTGTGAAGAAATGGTTGTAATTCCTACACGGTTCATGCTACATTTTTGAAAAAAGCCTTAAATGAAAGCTGAGAGTCTGCACTTTAAGCAGGTATTCATTGTTTCATTTAAAACCCATTGTGGTGGTGTACAGAGCCAAAATGATGACAACTGTATCATTGTCCAAATAATTATGGACCTGACTGTATATGTTGAGATCTGTTTGTTTAAATGCAATATAGGATGTTAACTTCCTCAATAGTTTAATTTTACAAATGTAAAATTTGGCTAAAACAATGGCAAATATATGTGATATGTTGTTCATTTCTGGAAAAGAAAACAAATGTTAATATAAATATAAATATAAATCATGTTCTTTAAGTAGAATTTCCTGCTTAATCCAACTGTAAATCAGCCCCACAATACTGTCATATGCAAACACTGAAAAAAAGAAATGTTACAGATCAGACACCAGCCAACAGGGAGCAGCACATGACTGGAGGTTACTGGTATATCTGAATTAGCGTCTGTGCTTCCTATCTGAGATCGTAGACCACTTTGTGCTTTGGTCCTCCTCACTGCGCCTCCTCTCCACCACTGAGCTCATTGCGCCCTAAGAGGGTACTGTGGAGGAGGCCTATGAGCACGAGAACCTTAAGTACGCCGAGCTGGCAATGTGGCTGAAAAGCAAAGGTTTACCCAGTTGACGTGGCCTGCAGAGGCTTCTCGGGCAAGTCACCTACCAGGCTGCTTAAAGAAATGGGAACTGGAGGCCAAGCCCAACGTCAGGCCATCAAAGCCCTCTCTGGCGCAGCTGAACAGGAAAGTCGGTGGCTATAGATTAAGAGGAGAGATGCCACTTGGGTCCTGAAATACCACTCACAACAGCAGGGTTTGAGGGAGTAAAAGCAGAGAGGGCACACATGGGACGCCAGGTGTTGCCGATGAGCCCTGTGGAGGTGTCGTGGGCCCATCATTGAAACACCAGTGAAGGAAGGTACCCACCTGATGACCCCAATGAAGCATTTACCCTCCCTAAACCCCCATCCCCTCCCTCAGTATGGCTCCAACTTTTACTCACAATCGCAAGTATGTGCAGCAATAATTGACCATTTAAACTCCACCTAAATTAAAGTTTGTTAAGTTTTTCTCCTGTTAGTTTCTTTTCTCTTCTCCCCTCTCTGTCCAAAATGAGTGAGTAAGGGGAGGTGGAGCGTACGGCCAGCACCAGCGGGGGAGAGTTCAGTCTGCGCAGACATCTCTCCTTGGCTCTGCCTTCACTATGCTCCTCCTTACTTTTCTATCTCCCTATGCTCTTTCCTCCTTTTCTATACATCTAACTTAAACACTAGTCATAGTCTCAGTATGTGCATTAAGGGACTGTAACATCAAGTCCTAAACTGAACTAGCATGTCCTCCACAAAATTACAGAAAGAGCATTTGTCTTCTGACGTACAGAAATTATTTCATAACAGGTTGATGTTGGGACCAGCCTGTTGCACCTCTGCCAGTGCCTGGGCACCAGCTGCAGGGACTACAGCTGGGAGCCATCCTTCAATAATGTTTAGCCCCTTTAATCACCAGAACATCTCAGAATGGTGGGGCAACCATCGGAGATGTCTCCCTGCAGCTCTCTGCAGCTGGATTCAGATTCCAGGTGGTTCCACTACATGGCTTCTTGGCTCCCCCAGTTCTTATATCTCCATTGTAGCCATAGCCAAAAGCTTCCCTTTTGACGCTTCTTCTGAGAGGTCTTTAAGGGCTTTCTTGACCTTTGGTGACATGAACCCTATGTCCCTTAGGAGGCGCCTGGTTGAGAGGCTTGTAAAGCTACAGCAGACAACTTCCACTGGGTAGGTTGTTGTTGTTTAGCCATTTTCTTGATATTAAGATTATATTAACAAATAATGGAATTTATCAGGACTAATTGTTTTGTAATTGAAAATTTAAAAAAAAACAAGCAGCAGCCTCTGGGGATGAAAAATAGAGCCAGTGCCAGAAACTGCAGTTCATTGAATGTCCACCAGAGGCTGGCTCCAAAACTGAGTCAATCCGCTTATATATGTTTACAGCCTAACACAAAAAAATGGTTTTGGTCTCTGTAGGGAATTTTAACATCCATGACAACTGTACAGGGGATGACTTTTTATGTAACTTTTTTAAGGCTTAAGGTAATGCATATTTCAGTTCGTTTTGATCGCCACCCCTCGCTCCTCCTTAGCCCCACCCTCTCGTCTAAATATGGTCACTTTTGGCTCCAAAAGCCAAGATGCCAAAATGCTGACCTTAAGGCTTCAAACTAAAACTTCACAAACCATAAGGGTGATGTCACTGTGTTCATGTCCATATTTGAACAGTCTGTGGGGAAAAAAATGCATTATCCAACCCCTTTTTCAGCACTTGTCATTCAAACAATTAGTGAATTGACAGATCGGCCCACTAAAGGGTCCAAGAAGCCGTAAATGCGTAATGCTAACCTGGTGTTCTCCTGTCAAGCTGTTGTGTTTTTGGCAGTAAAAAGAATGTTTGGCACAGTGTGAGACGGGGGCGCCAGATTGTGAGGTACAGGCTCTGTTATCTCAATGATCGAGGTGTATACGAGATAGAGTGGAGGTAGTGCATCAGGGTCTGTAATCAGGCACCTGGCTGCCATATGGATCATATGGATCAATGTTTTTTATCGTGGTGAGTTTGTCCAAATACTGTTGTTCGACCTCTGTAGCAGGCACAATAACACAACAACACCATCACACCATTTGGGGCAGGGGGCACAATCTTGTAAGGTTAACTCTGTTCCCAAAGTGTATCCTCAGTCCAACAACAATTACATTTACAATGTCTGGGCATGTGAGTGGAGGTAGTGCATTGGGGGCTGTAATCCAGCTCTGGTCTGCCAATTCACCCTCACAATATGGCGCCCCCTTCCAAAAAAATTAACAAGGCGTGACATCAACTTCACATTCTCCATAGCCAATAAAAACACTATGGCTGACCTGTTTTGACTCTTTATATTATATTTTACAGTATATTTGTCTCACACATGCTTCAGTTTAGCTTTTTTGTAAAGGAAACCCCCAAACAACTCCCTACAGTCAACAATGTTTATTTAAGTTATTATTGATCCAACTCCCAGCCAAAAAAACAAATAAAGAAATGTGTTCAAGCTTTATCAAATATTATAATTTCAAATCAGTAGATAGGTTTCTATAGTAATAATATAACTAACAGTACAAACATTTGTATAAAAATATAGTTTGGCCATACCATATGTGTAATAAAACTATCAAAACAACTAGCAGTTTGTGTTTTGTGTTTCCCAGGTTCTATGCATAGTCCTCGGCCAGTGCGTCAAAATAGTTTGTGTCTGCATAGAGAAGGAAGCCAGAGAACAAGCTGTCGGCCCAGCCCGGGTCTGCAAATAAACCATTCTGGTCGTGAAAGAAGATCTCCAGCCACACCTCATCTTCTGGGTTCAGGTACATCACAGTGGCCCCAGATGCTACGTCATGGTTTCCCGTGTTGGCATCAAAGGTTTTAATGCGGTACTGGCCATTCTGCACCAGACCGATGGCCAGATGTTTATTGGCCAATGTAATGTCATAGGAGAAATAATAAATGCCTGGGTATGCACAGATGAACTTGCCCGTCTGTGGGTTGTAGTGTCCGCCCT